CTTTGTCTTGGGGGCTATCGTGGGTCACAGCTGGGGGTCCCCAGGGGGCAGGGGAAGCTGTGGGGTCATCTCTTACCCAGCACCAACATCACAGGTAGAGGAGGGTGGGGAAGCCCCTGGAAGTCAGAGCTCAGGGTTTGACCCCCTGGGGAGCATCTGATGCTGGTGTTTCCCATCTGGGCAGGGTGATCCTGGTGATGCTGGAGGTCCGGGCGAGCCAGGAGCAGCAGGACAAAAGGTGAGGGGTGTCTCTAGCTCTGTCCCTTCTTGCAGCACCTCAGGGACACCCACAGCCTGCTCAGCCTCTGCTGTCGTGGGAGCAGAAGCACAAGAAGGGTGTCCCTGTGGGCTGAGGTCCCCTGGAGATGCAGGACTCAGACCTGGCATCAACACCCCTCCTGAGCACCCTGGGGTGAACTTATATGTCCATGGAACCCAGGGAGAGGCTGGAACATGAGATCCCCAGGCAGAAGCTGATTTAATTGCTATTTCTTTTTCCTCTCTTTGGTGACACCTCTTGTCTCCATCCCTGAGCAGGGTGATGGTGGCCCCAGGGGCCTTCCTGGAGTGCCTGGTCCAGGAGCTGCTACAGGGGAAATTGGAGAAAAAGGCCAGAAAGGAGAAAAGGGCCAAGAAGGTTTGATGGCAAGTACAGACTGGGGCTGCCTCAGCCCACCAGGCTCCCACAGGCTGGCTTCCTTGGGTGCTGGGTGCCAAGGAGAGGGGCTCACCCCCAGTGGGAAACCTTGGGCTCCAGGAACTGCAGAAAACACTAAGAATTGGTAAATCTCCATCATCAGGGGGTTTTGTGTCTCACGGGGATGAGACCAAAATGAGATCTTGTTGTGGCACAAGGGGATGGTTAGGACTTGCCAGGCAGTTGGGTTCATGGTGCCTCTGGCCAAACTCTACCCTCTTGCCCCCTGGCCAGGCTGGGACCCTGCTGAGCACGTCCCCTCTGTGTCCCAGGGCCAGGTTGGTGTCACTGGAGCTGTGGGTCCTCCTGGAGCTAGAGGATGGTTTGTAAGTCAGCTCGTGTCCCTCCTCCCATTTCAGCTGATCACAGACTGGTGGGGGGATGTGGGTGTGACTGGGAGCACTGGGCAGGGTTGCATCAATTGGGCTCCTTTGCTTGTGCCCTGACCAGGGTGAGATGGGTCTCCGAGGTCCTCCTGGGCTTGATGGTCCTGAGGGAGTGAAGGTACAACAGGGTGATGGCTCCAACCCTTCAACTCTGGGTGAAATGCTGATTTTTGGTCTTTTTCCTAAGCTCTGCTTTCTGCCTTTGGCTGATGTGGGATGTGGTGGGGCTGTGGTGGAGGAACTGGGACAGACCTGGGGGACCAGCCATGGGACACTCCCTGCCTTGTTGCCTGAGATGCAAAGTCAACGAGGCAAGGGAGGGTTTGCTGGGGACAGAGCTGTTTTCCCTTCCTCCCCAGGGAGATCCAGGCCCACCAGGCATGGATGGTCCCACGGGTGCTGCAGGATTAGAGGTAGGAGGTCTGGTGGAGCTGGGAGCTGCTAAAGGCTTCCCCAGTGCTTCACCATTTCCAATAGAAACCAAAGCCCAAAGATTTTATTGCCCCTTTAACTACCCAGGCTGAGTGCTCAGGAGTGAGAAGGGGGAGGGGGGGTTAATGCTTCATACCTTGAGTCCCAAGAGGTACTTACATGCCCCTACCCCAAAACTCAGACCATTTCAGCCAGGGTTGCCTCCTGGAAGACCCATCCCTGCTGTGGCCTCGTGTTCACAGTGCCTGGTGCCTCCCCTGGCCAAGCTGAACCTGGTGCAAGGGAAGGGATGCTTAAAATGCTGTAAAGGGCCTGATCAGGAAGCACAGGGTGAGGATGAGGTTGTTCTAAATCCCCAACAACACCACAGGGACTTGATGGAGATGATGGAGTCAAGGGAGATGGCGGCAAACCCGGCCCAGCCGTGAGTACCAGCCCTGGCCCTGCAGAGCTTCCCTGGGAAACAGGTTTGAGGGCATCTTGGGATGGAGCAGCAGAGCCTGTCCTTGCTCAGGACACCTCGTGTCACCCAGTGGGTGGCTGTGGAGTGAGCTGTGCCAGCCCCAGGGCCAGGCTGTGCCTGCTGGGTCCTGCCCTGCGGTGGCTTTGGGACCCAGGACAGTGTCCCCAGAGCCAGGGCTCTCTGAAAGAACCTTAACACAGCCATTAGAAGCTGTGCCAAGTGCCACAGTCACTGGGCAATTGGTGCTGGGCTCTCGGGGTCTGGGCCAGGGCATTTGGCTTCCCTCTCTTCTGCTTTTGCCAAGTCCATGGGTGTCCATAATAAAACCATCACGAAGGTTGGAAGGGACTTTAAAGCTCATCCAGCTTCAACCCCCCTGCCATGAGCAGGGAACCCAAAACCTCCTCCAACCTGGCCTTAAAAACCTCCAGGGATGGGGCATCAACAACCTCCCTGGGCAACCCATCCCAGTTCCTCACACCCTTAGAGGGAAGAATTTCTTCCTAATATCCAACCTCAATCTCCCCTCTCTCCGTTTAAAACTTGTCCTGTCCTGTCACTGTTTTCTCTGCTGAAGGCCAAAGGGTCCCAGGAACTGCCCCAAGATGCATCTTGTGGATGTGGCCCTGATGTGCACAGAGCCACAGAGGTGTTCCTGATGCCCTGCAGGATAAATCCCATTTGCATCCCAGCTTTCCCATGCTGTGGAGCTGCTGTGCCTGGGCAGGATGTGTCCTGAACTCAGGCAGCTCCTGCCCTTTGCCGGGAGAGGTCGGGATGCAGAATAAGCTCCGGGGGGGTTTGCAAAGCAGGCAGAGAAGATCCATCAGAGTAGTTGAAGCCCTTTGAGGAGCAGCTGCTTGGACCAAGCTCCAGAGGGGGTCGGGCTGGGGATGTAACAGGTGCCTGTGTGCACCACAGGGCGCAGCGGGTGCCCAGGGACCGGTGGGTGCCCCTGGGCTGAGGGGCTACACCGGGCACGGAGGAGCCAGAGGAGCAACGGGTGCCAAGGGAGAGCCAGGCAAGCAGGTAACTCCTTGCTGTGCTGTGGGGAACAGGCAGGGGACATCCCTGCAGGGTGCCTGTCCCCAGCACAGTTCTGGTCCCAGAAGTATCTGGAGGGAACGTCCCCAGTCCAGACCCCTGGGCAAGGCAGCTGGGTCCATGCTTTGCCCTCCTGCCTTCCCCCAAATAACCCAGCCTCATGGTTTTGTCCCCAAATGACCTCAGGGTCCCCTTGGACCCCCAGGGGAAGCTGGAGCCATGGGGCTGAGTGGCATCGAGGTGAGTGGGCTCCAAGCACCAAGGTGGGTGAGCTCCTTTCCCATTCCACTTCTCCCAGCCCAGGTCTGTGTCTGCCTGCCCAGGGCATGTGGGTGAATAACCCTGGAGCTTCTCTTTCTTGGAGCTTGGTCGATTTCTGTTTTGCTTTCTAGGGCCTGGTGGGTGCAAAAGGGGAGCCAGGCAGGCCAGGAAGACTGGGACAAATGGTGAGGAGTGGGAGGAAGCCATACTGGTTCCCCCTGGCATGGGCAGTGGGGTGCTGGGATCTCCCTGCTGCAGCAAGGTCCTGCATGGGCAGCATCTCCAGCTCCTGCTG